GTGTTTTTGTGGGTAAAACCCACTTCATCAGATGAGCTGGAGTGGAAATAACAGAATCAAGATATTTAAAACAGAGGGGAAAAAAGAAGGAGAAAAAAGTACCTGTCAATGGTAGGACAAGTGCTAATGAAGCTAATTAAGTGGGCTGGAAGGGCATGTCTACACTAAGAAATTATTTCAAAATAACAATTCCCAAAATAACTATTTTGAAATGAGATTAATCCCCAAGGAAAGCAGGAATTATTATTTTGAAATAACCAGCCCATTATTTTGAAATAACAGGATTGGTAGTGTGGACGCACTGCTTGTTATTTCAAAATTTCAAAACCCTAATGTAGACCAAGGTGAAGTGTCCCATACTTGGCTTTTGATGTAAAAATGCAGTTGCTAGAAGCAAGAGAGACTGGCTTTATAATAGGACATTCCAGGGTATTTTTTATTCTTCAAGGAGTTTAACTTTTTGTGGCAGGTTACTTGTTTGGTTTGTTATAGTTTAAAAATATTTGTGCAGAGGTAGGAGTGGATGGGGACTTACTGTTGAGAGAATCCTTCTTGGTGTGGTAATAAACGGGCTCTAATGAGGAGAGGTTTTGCAGCATTTCCTAATGATAGATCCCCTGGATGCAAATGTTTTGTCCCCTGCTCTCCTGTGCATTCTCCTGGGCTTTATGACCAAGACCTTAAACTGGTATTTGAAATTGATTGGGAGCCAGTGGAGAGACTTGAGTATGATCCTGGGAGACAAGACCATGGAGGAAACAGGTGGCTCCATTCTGTATCAGCTGGAAACTATACATTGTCTTTATATTCACTATCAGATACAGTGAATCACAGTAATCTAGCCTGGTGACAAATGCATGGATCATTGTGTGGTCCTCATCCAGGAGGAATGGACAAAGTTTCTTGGAGAGCAAGAGTTGGAAAAAGGCATTTTGAAACATTGATGCTAAATGGTCATCCAATCTCAGCAAAGAGCCATACCGGACTCTCACTGTTTTGACTAATGGCTGTACATCTCCAATGGAAGATACAGATAGTACCTCAGCTGGTTTTTCGAAGTGTTTCCCCTAGCAACCAACATCAGTTCAGTTCTTGCCTGGGTTCAGCTTAAGCCAGCTGGTCTTTATCTGAGGAGATATTCTGATATCTCAGTTGTGTGCATAAACTGAGAAGGGGCTAGATAGTCAAGTGTTGTCTTAGTATTGTTGACGGCTGTACCCATGCCAACTCACTACCTCACTGTATGGTCTCAGGAGAACAGTGAAGAGAAGCAGATACAATCCGGCTATGTCTATACACTGCAAGGTTTTTGTGCAAAAACAATTGTTTTTGTGCAAAACCTATGGAGCATCCATACCTCAAATGCGCTTTTGTGCAAGTAAATCAACAGAAAAATGGCAGAAGAGAGGGCTTTTTCTGGCGTAGGTAAACCTCCTTTTACAAGGCATAACTCCTTTTTGCGCTACAGCTATTGCACAAAAAAGCAAGTGTGGACACTCCAGAGGGATTTCTTGCGCAAGAAACCCCTATGGGAAAAAAGCATTCTGTGAATGGCCATCAGAGCTTTCTTGTGCAAGAGCGTCCATGTAGTGTGGATGCTCTCTTGTGCAATAGCACTTCGCTTTTGCGATGTGCTTTAAGATGTGGACGTGCTTTTATACAATAAGTTTTTGTGCAAAAACTCTTATGCAAAAGGCTTCTTGTACAAGAAGCATGTAGTGTAGACACAGCCTCCCTGTAGGATGTTACAGGTGAGGAACTTAAGAAAGGAGCTGTTACCTATCACCACTGTTGAATTCTGCTAGAGAGGAACCACTGGGGTCACTCTTGTCCCATCTAGTCCCATGTCAACAATATGAACATGGAGATCATTCTATGCTCATAATTCTTCTTTTAAGGTCAGTAGTCCGAACCCTATGCTTTGCCCTGGTCTATACTTTGATTGTAAGGCAGCCAAGATGTTGGTTGATGTCACATTTGTTGGAGCTTGATCACTACTAGTACACTTCACTATTCTTTCTTCTTCAACTTTCTACTATCTTAGAGTTCCTGTTCTGTTCTCTTTTAGAAAAGTGTGGGGGTGGGGAGGAAATCATTTTACATATATTTAGATTCTCCCTCTAAAAGAAATTACTTGTGTCTACCCTTACTTAGACCACATTTCTAATATGAAAATGGTAAATCTACAATGATCAGAGTTGCTTCTTTTATTTGGCTCAAACTCACTTCCTCTTTTTACACTTTCTGGCTGCTTGGGGCTATGGTGCTTTTAACCTCTGTTGTCAGGAAGTTTTCTGGACTGTCACTTTGCTGACAGAGCTTCATTTCTACTTATCCACTTGCTCTTTTTACCCCTTAGACTGACAATATGCACTCCTCTAGTTCTGTATCGCTCGTCTGTAGTATATCTCTGGATTGTCCTGGTTTTTAGACCTTAAATTATACTGTACTAAATGGAAAGCTTCCGTTTTCAGTATACTATGCACAAATTCCTCTCTCTTTAAACAAGCACATTAATTTGAAACTAAAATAAAAATGAAACTTGTTCAAGGGTATTTGAAATGATCATCTAATTAGCTTTCTGCTTGACTTTATTCAGAAGATCAGAGACATATGGCTCTTTTGGAAACTTATATTTGCGGTATAAGTTCTCCAACTGTGAATTTTTAAAAGCAACTGAAAAAATGTTAAAAACATTAAGATTGAAAGTACACAGTGATTAAGATTTATGCCTTATGGAAACTTGTTTGATGTTAATTATGAAAAGAATTTGTCAGTTTTGATAATCAGGATCTTTAATCCTAAAGTCTGCACTCTTTTGAAATAACAGTAAGCAGGATTCTTTCCATATAATATCCCTGGGGATTAGAGATTGACAGGTTAAATTATTATTAAGTTAGTTCTTCAAATTTTTGTTTAAAATCTACTGATTTTAAAAACTAACTTATGAAAAAGTTTCATATGGTAACTCATGAAAAATTTTTTGATATATTGTCTCAGAAAGTGTTTGATCTGAAATCTATTCTCATATAAAATATCCCGAGTGCCCAGATGTAACTGGGAAAACAGGAATATCAGCTATTGAGGGTTTGTTGCTCTCTGTATTGTTGCTGCCCCTTTCGTGGTTGGTAAGTCTCAGGCCTGTTCCTTAGAAAACTGGACACCCACAACTCCCATTGGATAGCCAGACTTGTATGTGCCAGTGGCCATTTCTTCTCAGGAGCAGAACTGTGAAATAAATTCCGCCATTATTGAAAAGGGGTCTCTGGTCGTGAAATAGGCACAGTATCGCCAACCCCCCAAAAGCTCAGAAAGCCTGAGTCAAACCTCCCAAATGAGATTAAGAAAATTATATTCTGGTTTTTGCCTCCCCAGTGTGTCGCCATTGCCTGCTCTCTACTAAGTACATTGCTTTTTGCTCTTGCTACAGGAGTTCTCACTTCCCCATCTGGCTGTCTCCTGCCCAGCAATTCATTTTGCTCCCACACCTCCAAATCAATCCTGTCCTCCCCCGCATCTGTTGTGCTGTTGGCAGCCCAGGTTTTCCCATTACTGTCTTTTTTTGAGGTAGGCATCCCAGGACATTAACGGTGAATTAACTCCCACTTTTTGCCTACATGCCACCAATTTAAATAATCGCCGCTTCATTTAAATTTACATGGCTGCTGCGCTGAGCCGACAAACAGCTGATCAGCTGTTTGTCGGCTCAGCGCAGCAGCCATGTAAATTTAAATGAAGCGGCGATTATTTAAATTGGTGGCATGACTATGTTCCTGACATGTGAGTGAGACGCACCAGCCAGCTATCTATCTGAGAGCGAATTCTTTGCACCACCTCAGAGCACTAATCCGCCCCATCTGGTGCCCTATCTCCAGCTATAGCTCATCTCTGATACTTTGGAGAAAGGTGGGAAAAAATCCCAGAATACATCTGGCCAATTGTCGTGGGGACCATGTGGTAGCGACCAGTACCTCTAACCTGCTGCGTGGCCTGACAGCTCCTATTAACCAAAGCATTTGCTGAGATTGTGGAAATGCTACAAAAATCAGCTATCCCAACAGCCACTGTTGCTTGCAGAATATTTGTTGCTTTTTTAAAGAAAATGCAAAAGAAAATTCAACAACTTCTGAATGTGGCTGAATTAAGGGAATTAACAGAGCAGTGCCAATTTGGAGTGAATTTAAATGATTGGTGTGTTTCATGCAGAGTGAAACAATCCAAAACCAGCTATTGACAAGATTAATTTCACTCTAGAGTGTGCACTAAAATTTTCTGTCTCAAGGGAGAAGAACTAGTAAACATGTCAGGGAGAAGCATTATTATGTGATCTGTGCAATAAATACACATGGCATCAGGCATAAAATGTAACATGGGCAACACTACAACACTGTATGCTTTCATTGTGAGAAACAGTCTCCCATTGCAAATGGAGGTTCAAATCTTGTAAAAACTGTGTGGGGAAGTATAGAAAATACAACAGCCACCCTATAAGAGCACATCCAGAAGATTTCAGAGTCAGCAGCTTGCAAATAAATGACAACAGGAATTTGATCTCTGCACCTGTTTAAATGAAAGACAATGAACAAAGGCCAGAGCTACATTACAAAGTTCTATCAGCAAAGCTGTGTCGCCCGGAGTGTGAGGAAAAACAATACCCCCTAGGCCAGCATCACTTTGCCAACCAAGCCCCTGCTGTGGATGGATTTATGCTGACAGAAGATTGCTTCTCTCAGCAGAGCACACCCTTGATAAAGAAGGTTTGCATAAATCACAAAACAAAGTTATCCTTAAGGCATTCAGACTGCAAAATGTGTCACAAGTATGAGCCTTTCTGGAAATGGTCAGTGGTTACCATAGGTTCTCATCTAATATGGTGACTGTGTTATATCTTCTGAGTGAGCTTTTACAGAAGTGGTATAGGTCCACGCAGTTTTTGAATGACCCCAAGAAGACTACAGCATAGGTTTTGAATGACCCCAAGAAGATTACAGCATCTGAAAGAATCTTAACACACAATAATGCAATTTTGCCTACAAAGGTGTGTTGTATGTATTGAAGATCATACTGAAATGCCTGTTTAACCAAGTGAAATTTTGTGATGGCCAGGTTTTATATTTTATTTATTTAAAGTCTGTTTTCCCTCAATTCTTTTGTTTTTAGTTTACCATTATTTTCTGCAGCTTTCCATATGGGGTTATAATTTCAAATCCCACTCTCCCATTTCTCAACGTTCTCAAGTAAATTGTTTCTTTGCCTATCCCCTGTATTTTTCTTTTTTCTCAAATCTTTCCCCCCTATCCTTGTTGTTTAATAGTAGCTATGTACTCTGCATTCAATCTTGAATATAATATCATGCCTGGAACTTCCCCTACAGGTCTGGAGGAATTAGGAGAATGGATTTTTAATGGCAACATGTTCACAAGCGATCCCCATTGTTCTGTGATTAAATACAGAGGCAGACTTTCTTGAAAACAGATATTTGCGAGGGAAATCAAGGCTGCTGAAGCTAACAAAACTCCTTAGCAATTTTTTAGGCTTTTCAGAACTTTTCTCTTCCCTATAGGAACTGCCAGTAATCATAGATTGATGGGTTGTCTTATTCTGCCCACCAGCATGTCTGATTTGCTTTGTACACTTTGTTCACAGCATATTGCAATTGTATCCTGCCATGATTTCAAGAGCTATAACATAATATGAGTTTCCACACCCACAAATTCAGAAGTATTTTCTACTTTGCTTTATAAAGTAATATGAGACTTTTACCTACATCAAGACTTTTTAGTGTGTCCAGTCCAATCTTCAAATCTTTCATTCCTAGTCCTTATCCTGGATCTATACACCATTTCTTTGGTGTCTGACATCACTGGTTTAAAGAAGGCTATCTTTAAAGTTAAGAGGTTTTCTGTAGAAATTGTTAAAATCTTCCAGAGCTGTAACAAGTGATGTAAGCTATTTGCGTGTGAGAGTGTTACTAACAAGTTGGTTTAGAAAGAACTCAGACACATTTATCTTTTTCTTCATTTTCCTCTCGATATTTGCTTCATTATAATGACTCCTAAGTAGCATATTGAAGCTAGGGTTAGACATGCAACTTAGGAAAAGCTATTCATCTCAGTTCCCAAGGCCAGTGACATAATTTATTCCTATAAAAGTTATCTGTATAAGGATAATCAGATGCAATAGGGGGCCTACATTTAATGCAAAACTATAAATCATACAATCAAATATATCTGTCACAGTCACCTAAATTATTTATTGTGCCGACTCAAACAAAAAATGTTTGGATTCCTTATCACAGAAACCTCAATAAACAGTCTATTTATTGATCAACATATGGCTGCTTATCTCTATTTTATGCATTGAGTCTGCAAAAAACTTACAGCTTTGAGTATATTTTAAATCAGAATGGAGCTTTAAGATTTATGCAGCAGCATTGCCACATTACTCTGAGTTGATAAACCTGACAGCTATATTTACATTGCATAGCTTCCTTATTTTAGATTATTAAACCAAGGATCATGTGGCATACATTTGGCAGTATGTAGTCGCACGGCATGGGGTCTGACCTAGCCGGCATTTAAAAATGGCGCCGGCCGGCTTTATGCAAATGAAGCCCGGGAAATTCAAATCCCGGGCTTCATTTGCAACTCCGTATGACTACATTACCCCCCCTAGTTCGGGAAATTCAAATCCCGGGCTTCATTTGCAACTCCGTATGACTACATTCCCCCCCCTAGTTCGAACTAGGGGGGTAGTGTAGACATACCGTAGGTGTAAAAGTTTCTTCATCTTCACTGAAAAAGGCACAACAAGATCCAATGGCTGGATACTGAAATGAGACTAATTCAAAGTGGAAATTAACAGTGAAGCTAATTAACTGCTGAAGCAACTTACTAGAGTGATATGGTAGATTCTCCAAGCCTTGGAAGTGTTTAAATCAAGAATGGATGCCTTTGTAAAGAGATGCTCCAAGTGAGACAGAAGTGATGGCCTTGGTGTCACTGGCTGAGATTCTCTGACCTATGATATGCAGGATGTTACACTAGATGATTACAATGATCTCTCTCAGAATCTACAGGTAGATTGGGGCAAAGGGTAGGGAGCAGGGAAGGCTGAATATGGGGCAGGAGTTCCGGGTGGTCAGGGGCTGGGCCATGCCTGACTGTTTTGGGAAGCACAGCCTCCCCCAGCCTTTTCCATCCAGCACTCTATACAATTTCTGAACTTGATGTGACCCTCAGGCCAAAAAGTTTCTTCATCATCATCATCAATAACCATGGCTCAACGCCCGGTGGTGTCCGATGCCTCCCTCACTATTTCCTTCCATCTTTCCCTGTCCAGTGCGGAGTGGCTTAGTTTCTGTAGACTAGTTCTGCACCAATCTACTGTATCATCTAGCCATTCTCTGTGGGGTCTGCCTCTCCTATTCGGACCATCCATTATGCTGAATACCAATGTCTTAACTTTTCGCTCATTGTTCATTCTGCAGATATGCCCGAAAAGCTGTAACTTCTGTTGTATACCCTTCTGTAGTAGGTTCTCATTCAGCTGTATCTTCCTATATAATTCCTCGTTGCTGACCTTCTACATCCATCCTATTCTCAAGATCTTTCTATAACTCCTCTTGAATGCTAATATCCTTCTCTTTGAATCTTTCATTATCATCCATGTTGCACATCCATACACCATGCTGCTAAATACACACATTTTCAAGACTCTCAGCTTCATTCCTAAGCTAATTGCTTTACTTTTCCAGATCTTATCCATTGCCTTCAAACTCACTCTTGCTTTTGTATTCTAGTCGCTATTTCCTTCTTACAGTCTAGATCATACATCATGTTGCTCCCCAAATACATGAATTTCTCTACGTTCTCTAGTTCGATCCCATCTATACTGATCTTCCTTCCTATTTCCTTATCTCCAAATACCATTGTCTTCGTTTTATCGATATTCATAATCAGTCCATACCGCTTCCCTTCCTCATTTAGCACCTGCACTGTTCTCACTAGCTTCTCTTCATCTTCCTCAATGATAACTATATCATCCGTGAACCTCAAGTTGTTAATTCTTATCTTGTGCACCGATATCCCTTCTACTTCTTCCTTGATCTTGTCCATCACTCTCTCTAGGTGCGTGATGAAGATACTCTGTGATATTGGATCTCCTTGTCTTGTACCTCTACTCGTTCTAAACCAACTTCCCAAATCTCCGCACGTTCTCACTGCTGCCTCTGCATTACCCCTAAATACATGTTCTGTGAAGTGTTTCTATTTTTTTCATATGTACCTTCCATCCCTTTCATTGAGTGGCCACTTGTGTTCAAATCATGGAGCAGTGTAAAGAGGAAATACTAAATAATGTTTACATTTTCCATCACCATCTTGCATACCTCAGTCAACTCCTTCTAACATTTTCTAAGACAAGTATTTAAAAGCTAGCAATAAGCTACAGCACTAATTGAATTGTACACTTAAAAATGCGCAAGATTTAATTGGGCACCTGACAGCAGCATTATTTATTTCTTTATTTGTACTGCAGGAGCACCTAGATTGTTCTCCAGGGGTCTGAGAATGCATAAGTGGGGAAGGGACAAGGAGTTGGTGGGCCAAGGCTAGAGAGGTCTATAGTTATGTGTTACTGAGTCAGGGTATGTAATGGAAATATGGGAGCTATTAAATCTGAGCCGTTACTTTCCCAGTGGGGATCTTGGTTCAGGAGGTTCCCGAGAGCTGCTGCCAGCTTCAGAAGTACTCTCAGTGTAGCTCCACTGGAGTTGTGTTGCAGGATGTGCCAGAGACCCAGAGGTATAAGACCTCTGTGTGAATGTACCTGGCCTTCTTTTGGTTCTGGGGATTCACTAGTTGTTGGAGATTTCATGGCACTCAGTGGAGACTCCTGCTGCTTGTTGTCTGAGGGGAGCTGACAGAATAACTGGGAAGAATCTCAGTGAGACAATCTCAGTGATTTCCTCCTATTAGCTTTCCATCAGGAGTATGGAGAGGAGAGTAACATTCCCTTATGAGGCCATTCTTAGTAATTTGTAGAGCAAATGACCAAATTTTTTTTTAAACTAACTTAAATTATTGCAAAATATGTGACACCATATGCACCAACTCCATGGATGATCATGGGCTGGAGTACCCACAAGGAAAAATTAGTGCAGGAGCAGAAGCGGGCATTGGGAGAAGGGTGGACTGGGGGATGGGAGGACAGAGCAGGAATAGGAAGAAGTGGAACAGGGGCATGGCTTGGGGGTAGGGTAACTTCTTATTGGCACAATCATATTTTGTATGGGTATGTCTATGCTACAGTGTTATTTCAAAATAGCTTATTTTCAAAATAACACATCTACACACAAAATGCATTTCGAAATAGCATTTTGTTATTTTGAAATAGCGTGTCCACACTGAGTGGACTCTGAATCGCATTTAAGGCTGGCCGGAACCAGTTCTGGCGGGGCACCAGGTCAGGACTTACTGTGTGGGGCTGCTGCCTGAGGCTATCTGAGGACTGTGCTTAAAGGGACCTCCCCAGATAGCCAGTTCTCTGGTTTCTCTGCTTGCTTGTCTACCTCGATGAGGGACAGCAAAGCATTTTGTCTCTGCGTGCTCTGGTTGCCCTCACTTGGGACACCACAGCACTCTGCAACATGGAGCCAGAGCTGCCCCTGGGAACTCTGGTGCTTCTCGTGCACGCATTGCTGCGAGCCTGGCTGCACGTTCTGCAGGCTGCCATCTGGGACGTCCATTGGGGGGCTGTCAGTATCCAGGAAGCCCTGCGGGGGAGCTTCCACCCTAAGGAGCACTAAGAGCCTCCCTGGTGTACCCCACTGGGGGCTTATGCCTCATTCCTCCCTCATGTCTTTCCACTTACTCCTCCCTAACCCCTCTTCCTGATGTCAAATAAAATACATGTATTTTCATGAACACAAACTCTCTTTATTTAACAAAACTGGTGGGGAGGGAATGAAACTCTGGTGAGACTGGGGAAAGGAGGTGGGAGAGAGAAGAGAGGATGGGAGAGGGTAGGGGGACACCTGGGAGGAGGGAGCTGGAAGGGGGAAGCAAGGGGAAGAAGGGGGAGGGGAAGCTCAGGGCTCAGGGTTGGGGGTCTCGCCGGACCAACTTGATTATCATGCAAACCTGCTCCTGGGTTCACATGTGGCCTTTCATGGCCAGGCTGGCAGCTATCCTGCCATAGAAGGCAGCATTCTTCCATCTAGTGCAGAAATCAGGGGCATCCCTCCCCCAAACTTGAATAAGGTCCATGATCTCCACCCTGGACCAGGAAGGCGCCCGCCTTCTCCGGGCCCTGGCAGGCTTCTGGGAGCTGGTAGACTGCTCCTGGGGAGCGGTGGAGGGCTGGCTGCCAGTGGCTTGCTAGCTCATGTTTTGGGGCCACTGGGTATGGGGCAGTGACTGCTGGCTCTGGGCTGGCAGGCTTGGAGCTGCCACAGGCACTATGGCCAGAGTCAACCCCATTAAAGGTTCCAGGGAGGAGGGAAGAGAGTGGAGTGTTCTTGGTTGAGGCTGTAGTGGCCACCAGGGCACCCTGAGAAGGCTGGAGGCCCCCTATTTCAAAATGTGTGTCTACACAGCACTTATTTCGAAATAGCTATTTTGAATTTGGTGATATTCCGTGTAGAATGAGGTTTACCAAATTTGAAATAAGCGCTCCACTATTTTGAATTAATTTCGAAATAGCGATTTGGCTGTGTAGACACTAGGAAAGTTATTTCAAAATAAGGGCTGTTATTTCAAAATAACTTTGCTGTGTAGACATACCCTATAGTGTTTGAGGTATTTTTGGAGGGGGAGGATGGAATTAGAAAAAGGGAAGGGATGGTGAGTAGAGGCTGAATTTGAGTTTTCTCATCTTGTTCTGAGCTCTGAGGTTTTTCTCACTGCTCTTTTTGCTTTAAAATCCCTTACCTAGGTCAGTGGACTGTCTACCAGAGAAGACTAGGATCACCAGTTAGCAACAACAAGAATCACTTGTTACAGGTTGAGGGTTTAGCCTCCACAGTAATGTGTAAATGTGTTCATGTGTAAATTCTGGTGCTTTAATTCTGAAAAAAAAAAATTTAATTGGAGAAAGTCCAAATTTTAAATGAAACCTTTAAATATCTACAATCAGTTCAATAACTTAATCTCTGGGAGTAAGGGCAGAACACAGCATTAATTTAAAATTCATATCTGAAAGTGCTACAAGGACAAGATGCATAATAATATGGTTCTGTGATATTGAAATGGAGCTCTGATATGATGTCCCATTTCATGAATAAATATAATTAGTTAATGTTTCTTCTAGAGCAGGAACTGATCCAGAATCTACAATCCAAACCCCACTGTGTGTGTGCCTGCACACATGCACAGATCTGGACTTGAACTCTGATCTGAAAGTTATGATTGGAGCCTTTTTATATAAGGAGATGAGCTGAACCATAAGTCTTAACTCCTCAAAGTGTAGAGGGTATTTGAAATATGGAACTAAACTTGCACCCAGATGTTATAGGTAGGCTCTGCCTCTCAAATGGGCTGATCCAGTACCAAGTGGGAATCTCTATATCTTAAGGCAGCGTTTCCCAAACTCAGTGTGGTTGCCAGGGTGTTCCGGGCTCCTGGACTGCCCATGCAGCGCCGGGTTCCCCAAGCCCTCAGCTGGGCTGGGCGGATGCAGCCGTATGTTTCAGGCTCCCGGCAGAGGCATAGTGAGAGTTACCAGGTGAGCTCTTATTGCTGGCTGTGGAGGGGGGAGGGGAGGTTGGATATGGGCCACAGGCAAGCAGGGTCGGGGCAGAGGAGCTGCCCGGGGGAGATAGGAAGGGGAACCGGCTGGGGGGGGAGACACCAGCTGGAA